GTTTTAGATGCGTTCACACGCATGCCGGCCAGGTCGCACTCGGCTGCGAACCTTTCTAGGGAGCATTGAAGATCAGTTTCAGAAGATGCCAGTATAACAAGGTCGTCTGCAAAGAGTAACGTTCTCGGCTTCACATCTCCTACACCGATACCCTCATCGCCTTGGCAGCTCCTGACTATTCTATTCATGTACAACACAAGCAGGATAGGGGACAAGACGTAACCCTGGCGGATACCAGTGCGAGCGTTGAATGGTTTCGACTTAACGACATTTAATCTGACCCAACATCTGCTCCCAGAACACAGTGATTGGATGGCCAGTAGAGCTGGTCATCTATCCCGTATGTTCGCAGGCATGCCCATACACTGTTGCGCGGGGTCCGATCAAAGGCTTTCTCTAAGTCACGGAACCACATGTTGACCGGACTGGCGAACTTCCCGATTTTTCATCAGTCTGGCGTAGGGCAAATATATGATCAGAGGTGCTTCGACCGGTCAGAAGCCACACTGCCCTTCTTGTGCCTTGCAGGCAGTCATTCCGCGGCACTTCCTTTGTAGCACCTCTGCGTAGATTTTACCTGGGGGAGCTCAATAACCTAATACCCCAATAACTGGAGCACTCCCTGTGGTCTGTCTTCCTGAACAGGGGTACTACAGCCCATGTTTGCGAGTCCACTGGTGCCACTCCAGTAACCATTGTAATTTGGCATCGCGTGCAAGCCAACACTTCCCCTATTGGTCTAATGCTTAAGAGCATTTCAAGGCGGATTTCATCGATCAAAGGAGCCTTTCCTCTTTTCAAGCTTTTCACAGCGTATGTGATTTCCTCCACAAAGATACAAATATCTGTTTTCCGCTACTCGTCAGGCGAGTCTTCTTACGGTGGCCCGGGGTTCAAGAAGTTGTCCAGACCTGTCCTTGAAGAATCTGAGACTGCCCTTCTTTTCACTTCGGAGCCGGCGGATGGTCTGCTAGAATATCTTGTCTGCCGTATGAAAATTCG